GAGATTAAAGGAAACTATTTTCTTTCAAAAGATAAAGAAAATAACTGAGTTATAAAGTAACTGATAAGTTGTATTAGTTTTAAACTGCTAATCTGCATGTAAATGAGAATATTAAAATAGGATCTATCCTTTAAACTTATGTTTAAAATTGCAAGGCTAGGTACAGTGACACATTACCTAATTTTAGCACTCAATAGGACGAGGCAGGGGGCACTACAAATTCAAGGACAGCCAAGACTGCATAGCAAGACACTGTTTCAAGAACCAAACAACAACAAAAGCCAGGTACCAATGGTGCCTATAATTCTATAATTATAATTACTATAATTCTAATTACTCAGAAAGCTAAAATCTAAAGGATGGTAGGTAATACAAGGCCAGACCAAGCAGAAAAGTCTAAGAGACTATAATTCCAAAACAACAGCAAAAGCAAAAGAACAGGGCTGGAAACATAGCTCAATTAGTGGAGCTCCAAGCCTAGCAAGTGTGAGGTCCTAAGTTCAAATCCCAGTACCATCAAAACAAAGCATATAGCACTCACATATGTAATCCTGGCTACTCAGGAGGCTGAAATCTAAGGATCCTGGTTCAAAGCCAGCCAAGAAAGTTCTTGACACTCTTCTCTCCAATAAACTACCCTATATTTCATGAAGAGCTAAAGGAGTTGGAAAGTTCCTAGCACAAAGAAATGACTAATGTTGAGCTAGGTGCTGGTGGCTCATGCCTGTAATCCTAGCTATTCACAAGGCTGAGATCTGAGGTTTGAGGTTCAAAGCCAGCCCAGGCAGGAGAATCCATCAGAATCTTATCTCCAACTAACCAACAAAAAGCTACAAGTAGAGGTATGGCTCAAACTGCAAAGCACCAGTTTTGAACACCAACCTTGGGTGGCCCTGAGTTTAAGCCCTATATCAGAGGAGGAAGAAGAAGAGCTGTTCTTCAAAGTCTCTTGCGCTACAAAATAAATTCCCAAGTTGGCTAGTTTAAATAAAATGCAGTTTTAAACATAATAACTTTTACGTTTTAGAAAACCTAGAAACATTTGCTTCCTTGATATTTCTAGTTCTGTTCTCTTTGCCGTCTTCCAATACTGTGACTTTTTCTCAAGGGCTCATCCTCAGCTTTTTCTGCTTTCCTTTTTTTTTTTTTTTTTTTTTGGTCAGTTGTGGGGCCTGAACTGTGGGCCTGGGTACCGTCCCTCAGCTCTTCAGCTCAAGGCTAGCCTCTACCACTCAAGTCACAGCACCACTTCTAGCTTTTTCTGTTTATAAGGTGCTAAGGAATCGAACCCAGGGCCTCATGAATGCAAGGAAAGCACTCTACCACTGAGCCACCTTCCCAGTCCCCAAATGCTAGTTTTTGGTGTTTCTTTTTTACCCCAGTCCCAGGGCTTGAACTCAGGGCCTGAGCTTCCTTTGCTCAAGACTAGCACTCTACCACTTGAGCCACAGCACCACTTCCGGGGCTTTCTCCATGCTAGGCAAGCACTCTACCACTGAGCCACCTTCCCAGCTGCTTTCCTCCTATAATGACCCTATTCTCAGGGTCATTATTCCATTCTCCTAGCTCTCAGGGTCTCCTATTCCATCTTTACCTTTAAGTCCTCCTGTGTCATAATAATAGGTTATTTACATGGAGCCATCTATTAAATTTTAACAAGCTCAAAATTGAATCCTTTCAATAACAACAACAACAAAAATGCTGCTAAACTTACTTTTTTTTTTGTCAGTCCTAGGACTTGAACTCAGGGCCTAGGAACTGTCCCTAAGCTTCATTTTTTGCTCAAGGCTAGTACTCTACCACAAGAGCCACAGTGCACTTCTGGCTTTTTCTATTTATGTGTTACTGAGGAATCGAACCCAGGGCTTCATGTGTGCTAGGCAAGCACTCTACCACTAAACCATATTCCCAACCCCAAAGAATTACTAAGAACAACTTTTCTAAGAATAATTTTAGGGGGCTTGAACTCAGGGCCTGAGTGCCACTCCAGCTAATGGGAAGGCTGAGACAGAAGTGTCACTTGAGTTCATGAGTTGAGACCAGTCTAGGCAACATAGCAAGACTTCATCTCAAAAAAAAAAAAAATCAATTCAATTGTGAGACAAAGAAATTGTTTTGCAAACTGCCTAAAATATGGAAAGGACTTGATGTTGTCATAATTCCATCTCCCTTCTTTTAAGCAGCTTCATTCACCTTTACTCTTACTTCAAGCCATATCCAGTCTACTCTGGTTTCCACTAAATTATTTTCAACTATCTGGAGGCTGAATAATTGCTACACTAAATGAAGATACATTTAGACCTAAAACAGCTAATGAAATAAAAAATATATATATGCTTTATATATAATATATATACCAAATTTCACTGTCAATTGTGGAATAATGTAATGGAAATACACATGTCCCAAAATGTAATTCATAATGTTATACTTCCTAAGGAGTTTAAAATTATATTATCAAGTAGATGATTTAGATGAAGAGCATTTTAGGGACCATAGTTTTCATAGTTCCAATTTATTAAATGGCTTGGAGCTAGGCAGGCACTAAAAGCAAGAGTAAGCAAGACCATTTTTTTTTTTTTTTTTTCCAGCAAGACATTTTGTCCTTCTTTCTCTACATTCCTTTCTTTTACCTATTTCCTTCTTTTGTTTAAGACAATGCTTCAGTCACATTACACTATATAAAATAAGACTTCAAAAGATGAAAAAAAAATGAAGACAAAATAGAAATGTAAACACTGAGTAACCCAAAAAAAGATCAAGGGACAGAAGACAAAGCTGTAAATGCTAAACAATTTTTCAATTTAAAATTTCTTTTGTCAGGCAATGGTGGCTCACGCCTGTAATCCTAGCTACTACGGAGGCTGAGATCTGAGGATCGAGGTTCAAAACCAGCCCGGGCAGAAAAGTCTCCATAAGACTCTTAACTCCAATTGACCACTTAAAATCTGGAACTTGCACTGTGGCTCAAGTGGTAGAGTGCTAACCTTGAGCAAAAGAAGCTCTGGGACAGAGCTCAGGCCCAAAGTTCAAGCCCCATGACCAACAAAGAGAAAAAAAATATATTATTTTGTTTAATGAGGGAAAGGGAACATTTTTAGTTGCTCTTAAATTGACTCTATGTTTTCATCTAATCTTCATATCTAGCTCTGACTACATATTCAGTAGAAGACAGTATGAGTGTAGATTATCTGCATGGTCTTTAGAGAAAGAAGTTAGTCCAAGTATAGCCTTCACTTGAACCCACAAATTGTGACACTACCTCATAACTTCTGCAACTTCCTATTCCTAATCCCTAAAATTAGGATAATGAGAAATAAATGAATCAGGTGCTGGTGGTTCATGCCTATAATCCTAGCTATTCAGAAATCTGAGATATGTTGAGGACAGAGGTTCAAAGCCAGCTCAGGCAGCAGTTCATGAGACTCTTAATGCCAAGTGACCACCAAAAAGCTAGAAGTGGAGGTGTGACTCAAGTAGTAGAGCACCAGCCTTGGACAGAGACCTCAAGGCCTAGAGGATCAAGCCCCAGTAAGAATACTTAAAAAAAAAATGAGATGTGTGTTGGAAGCACTTAGCATATCATGAGTCTGATACAAAAAGTGCATTCAGTAAATCATGTTATGGTAATGACACTCCTTAAGTCTTTTTTTTTTCTTTTTTCTTTTTTTTTTTGTCAATCATGAGGCTTGAACTCTAGGCCTGGGCACTATTCCTCAGCTCTTCAGTTCAAGGCTAGTGCTCTACCACTTGAGCTACAGCACCACTTCCAGGTTTTCTAGTAGTTTATTGGAGGTAAGAGTTTCATGGGTTTTCTTGCCCAGGCTCTTTGAACTACTATCCTCAGATCTCAGCCTCCTGAATAGCTAGGATTACAGATGTTAGCCACCAGTGTCCAGCTGTCGAGGCTGTTTTTGAACTGAGGTCCTCAGAGTTCAGCCTCCTGAGAAGATAGGATTACAGAACGTGATTTGAAAAAAGGTTGGAGGGAAAGGGAGAGGGAGGGAGAGGAAGGGGGAGAGAAAGGGAGAGAGGGAGAGGGAAAGAAAGAGGGGAAGAGGGGGAGAGAGAGGGAGGGGAGAGGGAGAGAAAGAGGGGGGAGAGAGAGGGAGAGAAAGAGAGAAACAGAAGGAGAGGGAGGGAAAGGGAGAGAAGGAGGGAGAGGGAGAGAGAGGCATGTTGCCAGAAGAAACAACGAATTGTGCATTCAAAAATCTTATCTGCCCATCAGGTATCACTGACTGTGCTAAGCGCTGAGAAAACAAAGACACAAGGTTCTTGTCTTTGAACCTCCGTTACTCGGACACTAAATGTGGGCATATATCAATAGAACAGTAAAATGAGCACTCGTGGGAAGCTGAGGTTGAAGCAGGGATCTATCAAAAAAAAAAAAAAAGCATTCCGGTGGCTTCTTGGTTACTCCAGATACACATCTATTCATTCAGACAATACTTGAATAAATAAACATATTTCATAAACATTCATATTTCTGAATCAATGAATGAAGAAAGCCTGGAGATTAAATACACGCTACTGAAGCTTCTAGTTACTTGAACAAGAAGACCTGACCCCTCAAATCTGAGGACTTTTCTGTACTTGGGTTCCCAGAATCCCCAGGGCTGCGGAGCCTGCTGGAGTCTGACTCCCGTGCTCCGTCACCCGCAGAACCCACAGGGAGGCACGGGAGGGGGGCGGGGGGAAAGGGGGTCACTGGCCACCACCCATATACCAGCTCCCCGTAAGCCAGGCACTCCACACCTGGGCTCCCCAGGCCACTGGAAAAGTGCAACTACAGGTCGACCTCGGACCCTCAGCGTGAGACCCCTGAGGGCAGCTGTCTCGGGACTTCAAGGCAGGTAATGAATACAGCTAACTCCTCTCCTAGACCCCTCAGCCCGGCCAACCTGTGGAACGTGGGGGAGACCGGAGAGTGAGGGAACCCCGGGCTTCCCGGGTTCTATGAAGGACGGGTTCGGCCTACTCCGGGCACAGTCACTGACCTTTCCACAGGGGCCTCCCCGGGGCGGCGGCCCGGACCCCGCACCAGACACTTCTCCCTCTCAGCCCGCTCCGCGCTATGCAGCGCAGGGTAGCCAAGGGCGACCAGGAGGCTGCCATCTTGAACTCCGTACCGGCGGGGGAAGAGGAAAACTTTATTTGAAGCCAGAAAGGGAATGTGGCACAGACAAGTGCAGGCGTGCTCGCAGAAGGCTCCGCCTGACAGTGGAGAGGGAGCACCTTCAGAGACTTGACCTCCAACCCGAGGGGCGGGCAGAACTCTGTGGCAACTTCGTCCTTCCGGATGGGCCCGCCCTAAACTACAACTCCCAGCATGCAACGCGAATGCGTGGGGCAGGGGCGAAGGGGCGTGGCAAGGATGAGCCTCTGTGGTCTGAGGAAGGAGAGTGGGACGATGCTAAGCCCCACCCCGGGAGCAGTACTATGGGCGCGGAGACAGTAGATCCTGTAGTAGCTACTTTTGAACCTTTGGAGCTAGGGCACCTATGAGGGCCTTGGGCCCTCATGTTTCATCGAAATATTTTTTACCTCCTTACACCCCACCTCAAAGGTAGCATCAGAGCTGGAAATGTGGCACAATGGCAGAGTGCTTGCCTAGCATGCACGAAGCCCTGGGTTCCATTCCTCAGTACCACAAACACAGAAAAAGCTGGAAGTGGCACTGTGGCTCAAGTGTTAGTGTGCTGGCCTTGAGCAAAAGAAGCTCAGGGACAGTGCCCAGGCCCTGAGTGCAAGCCCCACGACTGACAAAAGTGAAAATAAAAAGTTAGCTTCAAACTTGTTTGCCTCCAAGTACATCTCTGAAGAATACTTGAAATGTGGTCCTATCACTCTTTTGACATTTTCATGGAAGTCACTTTCAATATGACACAAACTAAATTTTGTATGTGTGTGTTTAAGCTAAAATGTTTTGAAAGGATTTGTAAGTGGGATGGGAAAGCCAGTGTCCCAAAAAGGGAGAGTGGAAGTAGTCGTGGTATATAATGGGATATAGTGTATACAAAGGATAACTTCTTTTTTTTTTTTTGGTCTGGTCATGGGGCCTGAACGCTGGCCTGGGCGCTGTCACTCAGCTCTTCAGCTCAAGGCTAGCACTCTACCACTTAAGCCACAGTGCCACTTCCAGCTTTTTTTCTTTCTTTCTGCTTATGTGATGCTGAGGAATTGAACCCAGGGCCTCATGCATGCAAGGCAAGCGCTCTACCACGGAGCCACCTTCCAGCCCCCAAAGGAGAACTTCTAAGCCACAAAGTGATCATCCCAAATTCGATTAAACGGCGAATTTTTTTTTGGGGGGGGGGTCCGATCGTGGGGCTTGAACTCGGCCTGGGCGCTGTCCCTCAACTCTTCAGCTCAAGGTGAGCGCTCTACCACTTGAGCCACAGTTCCACTTCAGCTTTCTGGTGGTTAATTGGAGATGTCTCACGGATTTCCTGCCCAGGCTGGCTTTGAACCACTATCCTCAGATCTCAGCCTACTGAGTAGCTAGGATTACAGACGTGAGCCACCGGCACCCGACTACACAGTGAATAATTTGAGACTCTATGAGAATACAAATCGCTGTCCAGAAAAGGCTGTCAATACAGGAAGTTGGCAAGCCAGTAGGCTGAATAAAGACTGCAACAAAAGATAAGACAAATTACAGAATCAATAAAAGCACCATTTGGCTTGCTTTTTTTTTTTTTTTTTTTGCCAGTCCTGGGCCTTGTGAACTCAGGGCCTGGGTGCTAACCCTGAGCTTCTTTTGTTCAAGGCTAGTACTCTATCCCTTGAACCACAGTGCCACTTCCGGCTTTTTCTATGTATGTGATACTGAGGAACCCAGGGCTTAATGCATGCTAGGCAATCACTCTAACACTGAGCCACATTTCCAGCTCCCTAGCTTTTCTTTTACCAAGAAATTAAGACTTTCCAAGCATGCAGGGATGGCAGTACCAGTGGAGAAAACCAAGTTTTAGTTGTGTGAAGGTAGAGACTCAAGGGAAGAATTCCAGGAAATCATAAACATGGTTCTTGTAAGAAGTGAGAGGCAAGGGAGAGCAACCAATACGAGCCCAAAGCTTGATAGGGGTGCAGACCTGCGGGGCTACTCCAAACAAGAATGGTGGCAGCAGCCATGGACACGTGTAGGCTGAACTTAAAGATTTAGGGGGCAGTCACATGGATCACAAAGGCAATCACATACATAGACTGTGAGAATTTGGGGGTAGAGTCAGTTCCAGGAAGAGGTATTATAAAGGGGGGAGAGTCACATTTGAGAAAAGAGACAGTTGCAACTACAGCAGGAATAAGTATGTCACGCAGGAAAACAGTTTGGAGAAATAGTAACATTTTTGTAAACAGGTGGATACAGGGTGGGGACTTAATCATTGGGAAGCTGACTCTGAGAGCTTAAAGTTCTCACTAGAAAAAGGATTCCAAAGAAATGGCAAAAGAAAAGTATAATGCACAAAAAAATAATTTGGAGAATTCTTTTTTTTTTTTTTTTGTCGGTCGTGGGGCTTGAACTCTGGGCCTGGGTGCTGTCCCTCAGCTCTTCAGCTCAAAGCGAGTGCTCTACCACTTGAGCTACAGCGCCACTTCCGGTTTTCTGGTGGTTTATTGGAGATAGGAGTCTCATGGTCTCTCCTGCCCGGTCTGGCTTTGAACCGTGATCCTCAGATCTCAGCCTCCTGAGTAGCTAGGATTACAGGCGTGAGCCACCAGCGCCCGGCTTAGAGAATTCTTTACTACCTGAAAAATGCATGTTTAAACATACACATACATATTTTTGTGGGGAGTATCCTGAGACTTGAATTCAGGATCTGCACACTGTCCTTGAGCTCTTTCCTTCCTCCTCCTCCTCCTCCTCCTCCTCTTCTTCTTTTTTTTTTTGTCAATCCTGGGCCTTGAACTCTGGACCTGGGCTCAAGGCTAGCACTCTACAAATTGAGCTATAGTACCACTTCTGGCTTGTTCTGTGATTAATTGGGAGTTAAGAGTCTCCTGGAGCTGGGAGTCAGTGACTCATGCCTGTAATCCTAGTACTCAGGAGGCTGAGATCTGAGAATCACGTTTCAAAGCCAGCCAAGGCAGGAAAGTCCATGAGACTCTTATCTCTAATCAATTAGCCTTGAGCTGAAGAGCTCAGGGACTGCACCCAAATCCAAAGTTCAAGCACACAACAGCCAAAAGAAAGAAAGAAGAACAACTCTCACTGAAGTAAGGAGGCCAGGTCTGGCTGGTGACATCTTGGCCACATGGTGGATGGTAGGGTCTGGCATCTTGTCTTCATGCTGGGGGAAGGAACTTCCCCCCCCCCCCCCCAATCACCTGCCTCCCAGGCAATGGGCATGCCCAGATCCCTGTAGGCAGGGACAAGCACTTGGATGATAGGTTACTGAATCTTTCAGTCTAGTAGTGCCTGGGACTAGGAATTTCCTGAGGATCTGCACCCTGTGCAGATCTATTTAGGCCCAGACCAGCCTAGCTGGCAGGACTCCATGCCACGTGTCTCTGTGATCACATCCTGTGTCCTGTCTCCTCTCCAGTGATCATGGTCTCCCAATTCAGCTCTCCATTGGAGCTGAATTGGCTTGTTGGTATTGTTTTTGTTATTTCTTTTCTCTTTAGCATGTTTCCTAGCTGTGTTATGTGTATTTGCTTGCTGCAGGCCTTTGTAACAACTGGTGGCCTGCAGCCTGTTAACTGCATAATAAAGACTCCAATAGTCTATTTTTTAAAATGTGGCTTCTGGGATGATTTACCTTACAACATCATGGGGGGCTGGGGATGTGTTTTAGTGGTAGAGTGCTTCCCTAGCATGCATGAAGCCCTCCCTGGGTTCGATTCCTCAGTACTGCATAAACAGAAAAGGCTGGAAGTGGTGCTGTGGCTCAAGTGGTAGAGTGCTAGCCTTGTGCAAAAGAAGTGCAGGGCAGGCCCTGAGTTCAAGCCCCAGGACTAGCCAAAAAAAAAAAAAAAAAAAGAAGAAGAGTCTCATGGACTTTCCTACCTGCTCTGCTCTGAACTGCAGATCCTCAGATCTCAGCCTCCTGAGTACCTAGGATTACAAGCATGAGCTACAGCCAACTGCCATTGTCCTTGAGCTTTTTTACTCAAGGCTAGTGCAATACCACTTGAGCCCCAGCCCTGCTTCCAGTTTTTTGGTGGTTAATAGACTTTCCTTCGCTGGCTGGCTTTGACCTGTGATCCTCAGATCTCAGCCTCTGGAGTTGCTTGGATCAGAGCTCAGCTAAGCTTTTATTGGTTGAAGTTTTTGCCCAGGAAAATTTGGAATCACAATCTTCCCAATCTGTACCTCTTAAGTAACTTAGATTACAGGCATAAACCACTGTACCTGGCCCATTCTTTTTAAAAGAGCAGCAATCCCAAAACAATTCTACATTCAAATTTGTAATCTGGGAGCCATTTTCAGCTAAGTTCTCTTCCTCATTCTTCACATCCAGCCCTTCACCAAATATGATTGACTGTATTGTTTTTTTTGAAACAAAACATTTTTATTATTATAAATGTGATGTACAGAGGGGTTACAGGTGAAGAGTATATTTCTTTTTTGGACAGTGTCATCCTGTATTATCTTAAAATGCTTTGAATCCAGCCACTACCATCTAGATTTGATTATCACCTAACTGTACTTCTGTCTTTCCTCTTCATGCCACCCTATTAGATATATCTTTCCAGAGATGTGACCTACGTGACCACTTCCCTTTACAATTTCTAAATTTGAGATATTTTCCCTATTGATTACAAAATACAGTATAATTTTTTATTTTATTCATTTACTTATTTGCCAATCCTGGGGCTTGAACTCAGGCCTGGGCACTGTCTCTGAGCTTCTTTGCTCAAGGCTAGCACTCTACCACTTGAGCTACAGCACCATTTCTGGCTTTTTCTGTTTATGCAGTATGGAGGAATGGAACCCAGAACTTAATGCATGCTTGATAAGCACTCTACAACTAAGCCATATTCTCAGCCCAACTTCCAACTTTTTTTTTTTTGAGATATTTTTTGTTTTTGTTTTGTCGGTCGTGGGCCTGAACTCTGGGCCTGGGCACTGTCCCTCAGCTCTTCAGCTCAAGGCTAGCGCTCTACCACTTGAGTCACAGCGCCACTTCCAGCTTTTTCTGCTTATGTGGTGCTGAGGAATTGAACCCAGGGCCTCAGGCATGCAAGGACAAGCACTCTACCACTGAACCACCTTCCCAGC